TTCCAGTGTTGGAGCATTCACCGCTTCTGGAGGCAGGTTGTTCCATTGGTTAATTGTTCTAACTGTCAGGAAGTTTCTCCTTAGTTCTAGGTTGCTTCTCTCCTTGATTAGTTTCCATCCGTTGCTTCTTGTCCTGCCTTCAGGCGCTTTGGAAAATAGCTTGACTCCCTCTTCTTTGTGGTAGCCCTTGAGATATTGGAACACTGCTATCATGTCCCCCCTCATCCTTCTCTTCATTAAACTAGATATATCCAATTCCAGCAGCCGTTCTTTATATGCTTTAGCCTCCATATTTAAATATATCATGGTTTGCTTTAATGGCTGAACCCAATCATTGCAAGTACATTCAGACTTGCAAAATTAAGAGTAGTCCTGGCCTAGTGGCATTGATTTCTTAGTCTGGTTAAACTTATAGGGTTGACATCAAAGCACAACTAACATATAGTATCTTTAGTTAAGTTAGCAATATTACTGTTTCAGAGCTTCCAGCAGGGTTTTTTTTAGTATTACTGTTTAGAATATGCTGCATTATTATTTTTGTAGGTCTTATTCTGTATCAAGGATTATTTTAAAATGTGTACCATCCTCATTTTTTAAATTTTTGTCATCTTGTAATTATTAGTGAATCAACTTTAAATATGAAGCCCTCCCAATGTTCTTATAAATTATCCTTAGTATGATATGTCATAAAAGCATAGCATACAAATAACCATATTATAATAGAAAAAAATCGCACTTTAGCTTGAATCATGTATATATTCATTAGTTTCTATAAATGAATTCATTTTCTTGAATATAAATTGCACATCCAGCTATTATTCACCCTTTAAATCCAACAGATCAGATTTCTTATTCTCAAGTGTCTATTGTGGTAAAAAATACAAACTTTATGAATACAATTAAAGAAATCTAACTATTACTTAGAATTTGTCCTCAGAATTGTAGAAGTATTTCTCTGCCACTAAAGGATTGGTATTACACTTTTCTAAGGTCTAGTGATAACGTATGTTTTAAAAAAACCTAATCCTTAACTCTTCTTAAGAACAGGATTATTATTTGTACTTTGTGAAGATATTGTTATTTGTTGGAACTGTTTCACTAAACCATGCTTTACAGTAAGGCAATATATCTCAGTATGAAAATGGTCTCATTGCACAATAATTTAACAATAGGAATATAGAACAAGATTGAGTTCATCAGCAACACCCCAACAATAGATCAGATGCTTCCTATTACCCAGAAAGAATGTGTTAGAGAGAGACAATACAAATACAAACAATCATTCTCCAACAGTTAATTTCCATGTTTCATTTATATAGAAAAGATCCTGCAAATTCAAAGTATCCACTCCAATTACACTAAAGTGTAATTTTTCTCTCACTCTGCCCTGTATGGGTTGCAATTTCATATAGCATATAGTATTTGTGCAAATTAATTCAAAGCTATCTCTCAACCATCAGCATCAGGAAGTTCCACGTTCAATTTTGCCTTTTATGAATTGATAAGCTTCTTTTTGGCTTCCAGGCATTTTTAAATAAAATATAAAACACCACTAAAGAACTGGTTTTTTTGGGGGGGAAGCTTGTGTGTTATGATGCTGGAATCAGAGATAGGATCAGCAAAGAAACACTTGTTCTAGATGAGATGGGCAGCATATAAATCAAATGAAATAAAATCGATCAAAATGAATGAATGAATGAATGAATGAATGAATAAATAAATAAATAAATAAATAAGGTCTGTTTTGCCAGGTGGCAAGAAAAAAAACATGCAAACAGAAAATCCCACTCATCCACCAAAACAAAACCTCACACCCACAAAAATTATAAAAAAAGACAAGCTCAAAGCATGTCCTTGGAAGCATCAACATTGCCAATTAGTCAGAGATTAGTATACATGTATCATTATTGACATCTATGTACACGTAATTCACACCATGGACTTGGACACTTTTGTGGACTTTTTCTATAGATTTGGAAAACAAGAGGAGGAAAACTCAAGTTTCTGTAATAGAAGAGAATTAAGTCTGGAATACAGGAAGTCCTTCACTTACAACAGTTCATTTAGTGACTGTTGAAAGTTACAATGGCACTGAAAAAAGTGACTTATGCCCGTTTTTCTCACTTCGACCTTTGCAGCATCTCCATGATCATGTAATCAAAATTCAAATGCTTGGCAAACTAGTTCCTATTTATGACCATTGCTGTGTCCCAAGATCATGTGATCACTTTTTGCAACCTTCCGACAAGCAAAGTCAATGGGGAAGCCAGATTCACTTAACAACAGGGTTATTAGCTTATCAGCTGCAGTGATTCTCTTAACCCAGGGGTTAGGCAACCTTGGCTCTTTTATGACTGGCTGGTTCAGGAATTCTGGGAGTTGAAGTCCACGAGTCATAAAAGAGCCAAGGTTGCCTACCCCTGCCTTAACCACTGAGGCAAAACAGGTCGTAAAATAGGGCAAAACTCACTTAACAAACAACTCACTTAACAATTTTGGGCTCAATAGTTGTCATAAATCAAGGACTTCCTGTACTTAAAAGGAGGAATAACAAAAGAGAAAGAGAGCCTGGGTTGAATAAGCCATCCTGAATTTTGCCACTCAAGCATAAGAGAACATTCTCAGCACTGAATCATCAATGGGAATAATGTAGAGTGAACAGGCAAATTCTATTTCAAAACTCAGGTATAATCCAAGTGAGACACGGAGAAGACTCCAAGCTTAGGCATTTGAATCCCATCAATAATTATGGTGGCCACAGCTCAGCCATCAGAAGGGTTGGGTTGACATTTTCCAACATTCAGCAGGTCATGTTAGTGTGGAAACTTTATGATCCACCAAGATAGAAGCTACTACAAATATTAGTTAATGGTCCAATAAGAGAGAGAAATGACAGCTCTTTTTTATTATTCAAACTTTTGCCTCTTTTTCAGCCTTTTCTCAAAGAGAGAAGCATTATTAAGGAGAAACTTCCTAACAGTGAGGACAATTAACCAGTGGGAATAGCTTGCCTTCATAAATTGTGGGCACTCCATCACTGGAGGTTTTTAAGAAGAGACTGGACAGTCACTTGTCTGAGATGGTAGAGATTCTCCTGCTTCAACGGTGGGCTGGAGTAGAAGACCTCCAAGGTCCCTTCCAGTTCTATTCTATTCTATTCTATTCTATTCTATTCTATTCTATTCTATTCTATTCTATTCTATTCTAATGCATCACATTCTAATGCTAAGTATTAATAGGTAAAAGTGTTTACATACTGCCCTACTTTTGAAGGCTTGGAATGCTTTACAAATGATTAATTCTGTGCCATCGATTCAATGTCAATTCTGTGAGCATGACATTTCATTGCCAGGCAGGTACTATTATCAGTTTATGGGGGAGATGGCTTTGCTGGGTATTCACCTATGTCAGCTTGTCCTACCAGTCTTGAATGGATTATTGAGAATATCTGTAGCTCACAACTGAATTGTCTGAGTCTTTGGTGCTCTCTGAGCTTGGTTATTTGCTTGCAGACATTACTCATTAATTAATGAGGTAAGATCATTAGTGCCCTGATACTGTTGCCCTGATGAATCATCATTGATGACCTAATCAGGTCACTGATGAGATTACCTCATTGGGTAATGAAACTTCTGCAAGCAAACAACCAAACTCAGAAAACACCAATCTGGCTGCTGATTAAGAGAATATGATGATGAAAGAAAATATGCTTAGGGCCGTTTGCCCCTTTTCTTGCCTTTAGTTGCTTCATTTTTTAAAAAAAAATGGTTTGTAGATCGAGTTTACCTCTATCTTTCTGTTATGACTGATTGGTCAGAATGCCAAACCTGTAAGGAATTTTATAGCAAATTTGGGTCTGGCTTGGTCTAAAATATCTACAGTTTCCCTACTTAAAAGACACTATAAGTGTAATTCTTCTTCCTACACATATCATATAACACCCATATAAGCAAGAAACAGTGCTTGGAAGACGTCAAGCTCAAAGACTATCAAGAACCCCAAAATAACTTTCTTTTTTTCTTGAAGCTAGGTGACACAACTCCAACTAAATGGAATAATATAATAACAAAGGAAAGGCAGTTTTTTGTTGAGTCCCCAATAAGTGGTTCAGAATAAGAGTTTCGTAAAGCCACTAGGATTTCTTTAATTCTTTGTATTTGTAATACAGCATAGCTCTCTGTATTTTACTCTAAAATGGCCATTTTAAGAGCATTGTAATCCAATGTTTGTTACAGATGAACTCTTAAAGATTTACATTAGCATTTAGCTACTAGAATTACTGAATATTTAAATACTGATTTGGCTAAAGCCATTGCATGATTGTGTAATATCAGTATCTCTTATCAAGAAATATTTCTTGTTTGGCCAATCAATACCGAACTAAACATGTGCTTACTCATCCAAAAAACCTTTCCAGGATGGTCATGTGACTAAATATGTTTCTCTATAAAACAGGTACTTGCAGTTTCTTGTTGACCTTCCCTTCCCATAATGAAAGCTGTAATTTTAGCACTGGCATTGACCCTTGTGGGTAAGTAAGCATTTTAATTTATAATCTTTCAAAAATTGAACCTTAAAGAGACTTGTCCATTTTCATCAGAACAAATAAGAGAAACATTTTTACACATTAATGGAAACATTAAAAGTTCTGTATGACTATAACAACAGTAACCCAAAATTCTTCCAACTCTTTATGTTTCTTATACCTCTGTATTTTAAACAATGGAATTTTTTTTTTCTCACAGCAATAAAAGCATTTTTTCTTTTATTTTTATTTTCCAGGTTGCCAACAAAAAACTGATCGTAAGTAGCATTATTTAATTATATAGAATTTTAAAAGCCAATTTATGAGTCTATAGATGTGTAGCAATATATTTTCCACACATTACCTTAACATGTGTTTGAATTTCCACAGAAAGTGTCTTAACTCCTGATAAAGTTTTATTGTATGATTATGAATTTGAAGTTCAGAACAGAATGTCCGAAGATGGCTTTTCAAGTGCTGGACTAAAAGTTAAGTGTAAAGCAGAAATTGGAAATGTTCTTCAAGACCGGAACTTTCTAAAGGTAAGGGGGGAAAAATCCACTTTGAGAGCCTGTGGTCTAGAGGTTAATACATCTGCCTAACATGCAGACAGCCCAGGTTCGAATCTCAGAAGGGTATGTCTGGTTGAAAAGAACTAAAAAGTTCAAAATGGCTATTCCAGTTCTCCCTTAATTCTTTGTTAGCAATCCAAATTTTGAAATATATATATATCCTGATTTACACTTATCACACTTTATCAGATAATTATACTTAAATCAAACTAAACAGAGGCAAAGGTATAATTTCAGATCCAGTTATTTTTGCTGGATTTACTTATTTATTTATTTTTCCAAAATGTTAGCTCTAAGTTACTTCATGAAATGATTTTCATTTGGGACAAACAAAAAATATTTAAATTCATGAGACTATTTTGTTACTTGCAGGATGAAATTTATTACTAAGGCTTTACTTAGCAACCTTTCTCTTTTTTTATGCTTCTGAGTTACTGTTGATTCCTGGTAAACTGCCTAGATAAGTCTTTACAGTTTTCTTGGCAAGGTTTTTCAGAAGTGGCTTGCCATTGCCTGCTTCCTAGAGCAGAGAGATAGTGACTGGCCCAAGGTGATCCAGCTGGCTTCATATATATGGCAGGACTAGAAGTCACAATCTCCTAATCTGAAATTTTAACTACCAGACCAAACTGACTCTCTTTTGCAAATTTAGTCTTGTCTACATAGGAGCCTTGTCTCCTGCCTTCCTATAGGTCTACCTATGCTCCAGGATTTAAACTTCAAATTCTTTTCTCTTGCTATTGTAAATTAACAGCTCATTCTTCTGAGAACCTTGGAAACATCTGATCTACCCTGACATAAGATTTATCTCTATCTTGGAAAAATGGATTCCTGACTTACACAACTTCTTTACCACTTTATGTTACTTTAAATACTAAGATTTTAATGCTAAAGTCATGTTACATCACTTTATTTTTAATACTCATATAGAAAAGAATTTATGGTTTCTTTTCTTTAAAGGCTTTTTAAATTCAGATGGGAGATTTAGGAAGAATAAAATTTTACTATGTACGTTTTCTTAATCTCTTTGTGTGACAGGTTGATTGTTTTGAAGGACTGGATTACAATGGCGTGTACCCCTGGAGCAAGTTTGTTTCATCACCCAAATTAACTGCAGTGTTTCAGGAACACTTGAAGAATTTAATTCTTACATTTCAATACAGAAATGGGCATGTCGATGACATAATGGTTCCAGAACATGTCTCAGAATTTGCTTTAAACGTCTGCAAAGGAATTTTGAATTTATATGAAAATACCATCAAGAATGACCAGAAAACTTATAATTTAAAAGAGGTAAATCGTAATTCCAATTTTATTGGTGATATGGCATTATGACCTTCTGCTTTCTCTTTTGTCCAATAACACAGTTGTGGTTGTAAGCAACATTACTGGGGCCAGGGAAGAATTTTGAAGATGAGCATGATGTCTCAGTAGTATGATTTTATCTGCAACCAACTTTAGGTTCACTGCGTTTGGATAGAAGTGATTGCCCCACACTGAAGATCTACAGCAGTTACTGTGTAGTCATTGATATTACCATCAGCAAGAATTTCCAAATTGCACCTTCAAATCATATATAGAGAGAGCAAGGTTTTTCTGCTCTAGGGTTCTGCAAACAGTTGATTTGGTCCATGAGAAACTACAGGCTAAATGCCTAACAAGACTCATTTAAGAACAGCCCACTTTGTATCACTACAACTTTGCTTCTTGATTGAAGATTCCAGAAGTGTATAAGTTGTACATCCTGAAAAGTTTTGAAAACTAATATTTAGAGCACAGCCCAGAGCATAATATATCTATTCAATTTTCAGAACTCTTAGCAGTGCAACCTTATGCCTATCTAAGGCATGGATAGAAATAGAGGATTATTAAGTTCAATGGAATTTGCAAGCAAGGTTGTGCCTCTGTATTGAACTGTGATCCTACTGTGTGTGTGTGTGTGTTTGTGTGTGCGTTACAGACAGACATACTGTTTGTAGACATACATACATACATACACATTTGAAATAGCTTGCTGGTAAAGCAAAAAGAAAAGTAAGCAATTCTTCAACTTCTACAAAATGAATCTGCAAAATTATAATTTGTTTCTATAAAATCCTAAATTAGTTTTATTTATGTATGTAAATTAAATATCTCAACTGGATACTGATTTGGTAAAATAGTTAAAATTATTTTTGTAGAAAATTCAGAATATAACTAATTTAAATTAGAAAGCAACTATCTGAATATATGAATATTGTACTTTGTGAATTTACTTGGCACCCACTGGCTCCTGACCATATTTGATCTCTGAATTGTCTAAATTGTTTACTTACTATCCATGCTATTTTTTTAGCTCATAACTTCCTCTGGTTAAATCAGTCCAAAACAGTTGAAATCAGGGTCATTGTTTCTATTGGTGGCTATATTCTACAGTATCGAACTTATCTAGCATATCATTCCATACACAGTAACTAATAAACAAATAAAATAGTGCTCAAAAAGTCTATTATATTGATTGCCAAGAATCAGAATAAAGCTGGAAGGGACCTTGGAGGTCTTCTAGTCCAACCCCCTGACCAAGCAGGAGACCCTATACCATTTCAGACAAGTGGCTGTCCAGTCTCTTCTTAAAAACCTCGAGTGATGAGGCCCCTACAACTTCTGAAGGCAAGCTGCTCCACTGGTTAATTGTTCTCCCTGTTAGGAGGTTTCTCCATAATTTCAACTTGTTTCTCTCCTTGATTGGTTTCCATCCGTTGTTTCTTGCCTTGCCTTTTGGTGCTTTGAAAAATAAGTTGACCCCTCTGCTTTGTAGCAGCTACTCAAGTACTGGAATACTGCTATCATGTCATCCCTTGTCTTTCTTTTCTTTAGACTGGCCATACCCAATTCCTGCAATGTTTCTTCCTATGTTTTAGTCTCCCGGCTCTTAATCATCTTAGTTGCTCTTCTTTGCACTTTTCCCAAAGGCTCAATATCTTTTTTGTAATGTGATGAACAAAACTGGATGCAGTATTCCAGGTGTGGTCTTACTAAGGTTTTATAAAGCGGTACTAATACTTCACATGATTTTGATTCTATGCCTCTGTTTATGCAATCAAGGATTGTATTAGCTTTTTTTGGCTGTTGCAGCACAGTGCTGGCTCATGTTTAAGTTATCATCCACTAGGATTCCAAGATCCATTTCACAGTTACTGTTTTTGAGCCAGGTTTTACCTAATCTGTACTTGTACCTTTGGTTTTTCTTGCCTAAGTGTAAAACCTTGCTTTTCTCCACATTAAATTTCATATTGCTTTGTGGCATTCCTGCTTATAAGAATTCATCCACAGACCTTTTGTTTTTAGGAAGGGGGGGGGGAGAAAAAAAATGTCATGGAAGGTCACAATAGGTTTTTGTTGTTTTTTTTTTAATAACAGCCTTGCCATGTAAATTCTTCCTCTTTCATTTCATATTGGGCTAATTATGTGAAGGTACTGCTACAATGTGGAACAGTGAATAGCAGTTCATTAAGCTAATGGCAAGTATAAAGCACATGAAAATGTCTAGGTTGAAAACGCCTTGAGGGAGAGAAAAACAAATTTAAACTTAGTAGAAAGTCTAGGTACGTACTGAGGTTTCACTTTTGATGAATACCCAAAAAAACTGATATAATGTTAGAGAGCTGAGTTAACTCTGCTAATATAAGAAAGGAAGATCTCATTTCTTTGGCAAGTGAGCTAATTATTGCTGCTTTCATGGCCGGTCTGCTCATCTACAATTCCAAGGCTTCTAACATAGGAATGTGTGAATTGTAGATTAGGTATAATAGGGTTTTTATGGATAATATGGCAGTTCTAGCCCTGAAATGTTTTGCTTTTGTGGTTTAACTCTCATTGATCAGATTATTTGGCCATGTTTTTTATTTAAAAATTCCAAATTATGCTTTATATAAAGTCTAATTGCAAATGAATAAAGAACTTCCCACCGGAACATGCCAGGTCTTTACTAAGGTTTGACATGATAGAAGAAGAAGAAGAGGAGGAGGAGGAGGAGGAGGAGGAGGAGGAGGAGGAGGAGGATTTGATCAAAGGCATTAGGAATTAGAAA